AGCGCTCTTTGCTGGCATTCTGCAATGCCAAACCATGCACGCAGCAGTCACTTGCTTTAGTTAAAAATATCAGTGTTCTGTGAATGTTGATGCTTTAATAACAAATATTTATCGGGAGCGTGTGTGCTGGGATTTCATACATTTCATGGAGAAAAAAGTAACGCAACTAGTAATGTAACTAATTACTAATTACTTTTGAAATAAAGTAATCAGAACAGTAACGTGATTACTTTTAAAAGGAGTAATCAGTAATTTGATTACATTTTCAGAGTAACTTGCCCAACACTGCTAAAGAGTCTTCTGAAAAACGCTTTTGTCATATTGCTCTTTTTAAAAGATCAAGAGTAACTATTCCCAGATTCTCAAAGCAAAAAGAGCAAGTATACAAAGTTATTTTTTTTTTATACAGATGAGTGATTTGTATTGCCGATAATGTTAATTTTCTCTATCTCTTCCTTTTGACTGAAGTAAAAAAAAAATTGATAGATGCCGTTTAACAGTGGGATGTCAGGAATGAGATAATAGTTCATTGTGACCTCAGGAGCTGATTAAAGCTGATACAGCTCCAGGACTGATAGCTTCTGTGCCATTAGCCGCTCCTCTGAATGCCATGCGTGTGCCACATCCACAGTCAGAATTACGGAACTAGATTGGATATTGAGATTTGCACTAAATGGAAACTACTGCTTTTGAGTAGGTTCATTTATTTCTTCTAACTAGGGGCACTTTTATGATTTTTTTTTTTAAACAAACAAAATAAAAAATGTTGTGTTCATTTTTTTCCATACTATAATTTAATTTTACTACTTTTCAAATTTGTTTTATATATGATTTTTTTTGTTCTTGTTTTTCAATCACTTTCAAGCATTATATTGAATACATTATTACTTATTTTATACTATGACAATCTAAAATGAGAGTGAGATAAACATATCATTTATCATTTCAATACAAATACATATCACTTCAATACAAATTATGACTGTGCCTCAGGCAGGGTTATTATCTATAACTAAAACTAAAACTAAAACCATAAAATACAATTTTTATTATTTGAAATAAAAAAGCCAATATTTTTTTCATTTTCATTTAGTTACGCTGAAGTACTAAAATAACTAAAACTAAAAATTCAAACTATAACTATAACTAAAACTGTAACTATACATACATATTTAGACAGTTTTTTAAAAATAAAAATATAATCAAACTTTCCTCAAAAGTTGGTGTACATGTTTACAAAAGTGACAACAGTGTCAATGATGTGATTGAGATAAAATATGAGACGTGATCAAGGCATATGATTTATGTTGCATATTATTTCCAATAAAGCTGTAATTTTTGTCAAATTATTCAAAAATTTTGAAAATATTATTTGTGTGTATTTAGCATAGCCTACATAAAATGCTAGCTATGAAATTACACTTAGCAAGACAAAGAAACCAGCTATTTCAATTTTTTTTTATAAAAATGTCGTCTACATCACAGAATGTTATTAAACATATACATAATTTGAGACATGATATAATGTTGCAAATAACAGTGTAGTGGAAATGACCATGACTTTGAGGAAAAAAAGCAAAAATGAATTCTCCTGTGATCTATGTCCATTATTATGAGTTGACAAATCGCGGGGGGAAAACAAACAATGTGTGAAAAGTGTTTCAAGAGACTTAATTTCCTAAAAGTTCACAAGCACAAAAGTGCCCATAGCTGAAGAAACACCTGATTATAAACTATCAACGCTGTGTTGAACTACTTTCATTTCCAATTTCATGTCAAAGAGTACCGCTCAGTTCATCTTCGACAAGTTTTTTTTCTTTTTTCTTCAGTAAATCTCAAATGCCAGCAAAAATATTTAGTTTTCCCTCACAAGCATCTGTCACTTGAATCATCCAACACATTACACATGTGATGTTAGCTCAGCCCGCTGCGGCACCTCCGTCTGCTTTATGGAGACAACTGCCTCGATCATCAGGAAGAAATTAGCTGAAGTACTAAGCTGCACAATCTTATTGGCTGACGGGCCCGTCCGCTCCATTTGAGGTCAGCCCAGACATTCCAGTGGATAATCTTTTCCATCCCTCCACTCTCTTGTCTTTCTCCCTCTCATACTCTGTCTGTTTTCCTCAAAGAGCAGCTACAGCACAAGGCTGGCTTTGTGTAGCCTCTTCACTAGCGTTTTCTTGCTCAGTCAGTGTGTTTTAAGTGAACCGTTTGGAGCTGAAATACATAACAGCCTTCATTCCCAGATCTCCCTGTACCTTCCAGTAATATGAAGCCTCCGAATTAGGGCCATCACCACAGGTTCTGGAGAGTAGCTGAGCTATGTTTGCTTCTGGAGCTTCGCCCACTTTTCCAAGCATCCCGTTCTTTGTCCTGCTCGCTCTCTCTGAACTTGCAACAAAAGGCTGTAATTATGGCGGGCACAAACCAGAGAGAAAGAGCCATATTATAGCATTCTCTCACACTTCAAATACAGCCACTCGCTAGGAGCTACAGGAACCTGTTTAGATTCATGCCAGCTGTGGAGATGACAGCTGCTGTGAACTTCTGAGATGGTCGTTTTGATGCAACCCACACATTTCATGCATTTTGAACCACAATATTTACACAAGTCCTCATGTTAAATGCCTGAGATACACAATCTCGCCTAAACATGCCATTGAGCTATCAACTAGCTTTAGTATGCTACATATTAACTGGTAACACTTTACAATAAGGTTCCATTTGTTAACATTAGTGAACTACAATGGGTCACATGAACAATGAAAAATAGCTTATTAATCTTAGTTAATGTTAATTTTAAAGACCCACTGTGGTAAAAATTTAGGTTTTTTAATGTTGTCTATCCGGTGTTTTTAATTGTGCTTAAAGACATAAATGTGCAAACTCATCAGTCAACACCATTGCTGAGACTTTTCTCCTTTAAACATGCTGTGTCTCAAAAATGCAGTCACAAACATGTAACCAATCCTGTCAACTTGTGACGTGGGGCTTTTCATATCATTAGCAAAGCGTTTCCACCTAAGGATGTTGATTTTTAGAAGGTAGCTGTCTGAAATGGTGAACGGGAATATGGTTTGTGTAACATAACACTAGCAACACATTATTAGCTGTTTAATAATAGAGTCATAATGATATCAATTACTGTTACGTGTCTGACGTTGTAGAGAGTGATGCATAAAATGCATTTCTATTCTGATACATTGACTTGTAGATGACCCTGTATAATTCGCTTTTACTCTTCTACTTCGCCATTGTGTAGCATTTGCTACTTCAGTTAACCAAGTGAAAGTGAAACAAGTAGTCCAAGCTGGTGTGACTTGAGTGGAGGCGGGGACTAATTTGCATATTCATAGGTCTACATATAATAAATGAGGTAAGGGTGTAGAGTTATACTCAAGCAATTTTAAAGCATGAATAAATTATTTTTACTGAAATCATTTAAATAGATTATTTTGGTTATCAAAAATTTGTTTTAAGGGATAAAATTAGTGACTGCAGGACTTTTAACCAGGGTGCGAACTACGGGGGAGCTAGGGGGAGCTCGGCTCCCCTTAATAAGACATGGGCTCCCCTGAAAACGGGATTTGTGAAATTTTGGGGGGTCTCAAAAAATATTGACTGTGTTATTTTGACGTGCAATTTCAGTTTTGTGTAATGTGATCATCGTGGATTATTATGTGTAAAATTGCACAAATATTCATTCATGCATGATGGCGATTTAAACCTAATTCACTTGAATAAAGATAACTATACATTAAGTCATGAGCATCAAGGTGTGGGGGTGCTTCGGTGCAAATTCCACTCATGTTTATTACATGTTAACTCAAAGATTCGTAGAAAAAATATAAACACTGAATTCTGTGGTTGATTCTGTGTTAAGGTAAGGCATGTTATTCGCAATTATGTGTTGTGGCTGTGTTGTTATAGGTCTGCGTGATTCTCGATGTCTTAGGCCTAACTGAACGGAGGAATTATGGTATTCTTCTGTAGCCTGAAGACGAGTACCTTTAACCATTGTTCATGTGAACTCAAAGACAGCCTGATGCTTTGTTTATAGACTATTTGTGGGTGGCTGTTTGTTGTTTCACCTATCAATTCGTGTCGATAAAGTATAATAGGGTAAATCCTGTATAGTGACTTATCCTATATAGTGCTTGCATAAAGCAAGTAGTGCATGCACTTGTAGCTGTTATGTATCTTCGTAAGTCATTGTAAGTCCTTTTTTACGAACCCCCCCTTATAAAAAAAACAAAAAACAAGTGGGCTCCCCCAAAGTCCACGGTATAGTTCGAACACTGCTTTTAACATTTACTACTATATTAACAACATATGAACAAAAAGTTGCATCTGTTACTATTATTTAATGGACCTGAGCTGACATGAACTGACAATGAAAAGTTATATTTTTATTAACTAATGCTAACAACGAATAAAATAAATAGTGTAACAAATGTAATACTTATTGCTAGGTAATGTTAACGTTAACTAATGGGACTATATTGTAAAGTGTTGCCAATTAACTTCATATATTATCTCTGAAAGTGACAACTGGCTTTGAAAAATCAACAAACCTGGGGAAAACCAACTGAAAACAAAGAGACCTACAGCATGTGAATACATCATGTGCAGGAATAAGACCAGTGAAACGTGTCCATTAACGCAGGGGCCAGGGGAGACGCTCTCTATATGTGCTTTGTTGTAACATGTTTGAACCAGAAACTATTTCTCATGAGTGAAACTGTATCTTGAATTCAGTTTGGGAATGACAGGACTAGACATCCTACACTTGGAATGAAGACTGATTTTGCCCTACAGCGTTGAATCGCTGACGTTACGCGTGGATGATCCAGCACTGTAGGGCAAAATCAGTTCAATGCAACTGCGCTAACAGAAACCAGATGGCTTACCTCTGAATTAAAATGACGATCAAATGTGTCTATGTGGCAAGCGCAGGTGCTCTGATGTGTTTGTGCATGTGAATGTGTGTTTTATACCTGTGGATATCCTGCGCTGTTGTAGCGGGTATGTACCCGTGAAGCCGGAGTAGCCATTGGGCGAACTGCCAGCGTCGCCCGGCCAGCTCCGCAAACACGGCGGCGCTACTGAGCAGGGGTTTTTCAGGAGCCCTGTGTGTGTGACACACAAGAGAAGTGGGTGAGAGTCACTCACTTCCACTGCAATCAGATGAGGATTTCACACCAATATGAGAAAGGACACACTACACTTTACTCAAAACTGTTATGGATGGATCTCAGTTGAGTCTTCAATAAGCTGTACTTGAACTTACATGACAGTACAAAAGAAAATATAACTTCTCTTTCAAAGCCCAGGAGATGTAATGAAGTTGGGAGTTTCACGTACACTAAAATGTGATTTCCTTTGAAAGTATTTTCAGTTAGTAATTGATCATAAATTTCACAAATAATCACAATGTAATAATGTGCCAGTAACACACTGAATTAAATGTGAAATTTTGAAGTAGAAATACTGAAATAGTACTCTCTAATAAAACATACTCCCATAATCATTGTTTTATTTACAACTTCAAAAAATAATTTTTACAGTTTAGATATCAGTCGTCGTCTCAATTCTGAACACACGTCAACAATTCTGAAAGAAAACAAGTTTGGTAGAAATTAATGAGAAATGTTTAAGTTCACACTGACTGTTATTTGTAGACTTGAAATTGAGATCTCTTATGACACTAGACATGTGCGATTAAAAGAGAGTCTGATTTCCATTTGCTCTCCATTTAATCTTGTTGTTGTCTAGGATAAAAAGGTTGGCAAAATGAAGAGATTTTTCTTTCCTGAGGGAGTGTCTTGAGTTTGGAAGCTTATTTTCCCCTCAGAGAAAAAAATAATAATAATAATTTGTGACTTTTTCTTACCATTGCAATTTTATTTCTTTATTTTAAACTTCACAATTACTTTATTTTTTACTCAGGGGTAGCTGAACATTTTGAAGCGTCAAAGTTTTGGTAGAATGGACGGAAGAACACATCTCTCAAGTTTCATTTAAACTATCTTCAGTTGTGTTTCAAAGATGATCGAAACAAATGTACAAAACAGCATGAGGGTAAGTAAATGATGACAGAGTTTTCATTTTTTGAGTGAACTCTCCCTTTGAGGCAGAAACTGGGTTTCCATACTTGTACTTACTTGAAACATCTGCAATTAACGAGTGTCCTTTTCTACAAGTTTCAAATTACACTTTTCAACATTTCAACAATTGTGTAATGTCATGTAAAACCAGAAGTCATCTTTATGAGAAAGACCCATGCGTGAGTGTTTGTGACCGAACGTGTGTGGCCCATACTACAGTACATATCTCTGATTAATATGGAAATAACTTGACCTCAAGATGTTTTATTTGTTCGCTAGTAAAATTGCAAGTGCCTCATTTTCATCCATCTCTGAATATGAACTTTGAGACCACCCAATACTCTCAACTCACTATGACCTTGAGCAACAAAGGACACCTAGACATACACACACACACACACACACACACACACACACACAGACTGCAGGCTCTCTTTATGAGACCCGGGATATTTGCTCCTTTCAAAGCCCTCATTTACGAGACCTTGATGAGAGGCTGTGCCACACAAAGCAGATACCTTTTTTCAAGGTTTCCATCTCATGTCTAAGACAATCAAGCTCAAGGTCAAAGATCAAACCTGCAATTCAATTCATCATGAACGTCATAAAAATCTCTCTTTCAAGGGTTCTCGATTAGCTCTTTAGAAAGGGGGTTGAGGCATGGACCACAGTATAGGCAGAAGTTGTTGCCTTAGACATGTGATCATTAGACAACCTTAAAGTGCCTTTTAGTAGCCTTGAAAGCTGCATTAGAGATGCATAGAGGTCGAGGGGTTTCAGTTTAAAACCTCCTGATCTTCTTTGTGATAGATTAGAATGTCTATCTCTTGCAATGAGCTCTGGATACTAAGATGTTTGCGCTGAAGATCAATGGCTGGATTTGACTGTCAGAATAATGAAGACCTGCCACATATGTGCTATTATATTTTTTAAAAGACTCTAACACTGGGATAAATTGTAGTCATGACTGCCTAAGGCGGTTTTTAGGTTGTGCTGTGTCATATCCTGTCAGAACGAGAATAACTTCTTTGGCAATGCGGTTGAAATAGTCAAGATAGTATGCTGGAACAAAAGGTCTGATCCATAACCTTTCATGAGATGCTGCCAGGAAGAGACAGAGATGTTGTGATGGATGGAGAGAGAAGCAGTCTAAACTAAGAGAGGCTTTTAAAATAGCTGCAGAATTCCAACCATCCTCCTTATAGCGGCACACATAAACATAGACCCAATCTTTACGAGACACAGACAGGAAAAACAGACCCATAAGAAAATAGGTCAATGACACAATAATGTTCACGAAACACATGTGGCAACTTCTTATAAATGTTTTTATATTTGTGACTGCGCTCTGGACAGCGTCAAAAGTTACTATTTACAAAGTGTTTTTGCATTCGCATATTTACCCAGGTGAAAAAGACGTAGTATTAAATGTATTAAAAATATACTTGAAATTCAAGTAGTATGTTTATAATACATTTGTATTCCCAACATGCTTATTTGAAGTGCAATAAAAATATACTGAATTGCATTTTAATATATTTCTAAAAAGTATACTAGAAATACTTTTGTATTAAATATATGCATAGTTATACTTCTAAGAAATATGCTAAACAGAAGCATACTTTTAATGTATTTATAAAAAGTATACTAGAAATACTTTGGTAATAAATATATGCTTAGTTACACTTTTAAGGAATATGCTAAACACAAGCACACTATTAGTATATTTCTAAAAAATATAGTAGAAATACTATGTTAATAAATATATTTTTAGTTACACTTGTAAGGAATATGCTATTTACAGAATTACTTTTTAGTGTATTTACAGAAAACATAATTATGTTACCCTTACTTAAAGTATACTTGACGCCTTTATTTTCTAATGTATATTTCTGAAATTCCCACAAGGATTTCAACATCATATATGAAAAAAAAAAACTTGCATGTACTTGTTTAAATTCAAATTCAAACAACCCACTGACTAAACCTGATTGGTTCCAGAGCCATTGAACGGCTCTGATTGGTTCGTATGATAATGAGCTCACCCCAGAGAGCTTCGCATATAAAATATGATGTGCATGCAAATGTCTCTTGAATGTGAATATAAGTCTAAATTTAAACAGTATTAAATAGAGCGGTCGCCGATCGTGTCTCTTTAGGGCACTTGGAGGAAACCACGCAATTCATATGGATTGGCGATGTTTTTTTGCGATTTCAACTTTTTGAAATGTGAACACCTTTGGTGAATCTTCTTTCATCGGAGGGACATAAATCTCTCAGATTTTTATTAAAATAT